TCTAAGCACATGCCTGAAACCCTACCTAATCTTCACTGTTTTATGGCTTAAAGGAAATCTAAATGTTTCTAAAAGTGTGCCTTGTAAGGGAAGACTCGTTCCCTGTGTTGAACAGTTATTACCTACCCCCTTTTCCAGTGTCACCCGTGGTTTTAAAGGCCTCTGTCTTCATCAGTTTGACCCTCAATCTTCTCTTTCCTAATTGAAGAGCCTGAGCACTCATTCCTCATATTGATGAACTGTGCTGTTGTTCTTCATGCAGAGGAAAAAGCCTGTGTATGTACATTATACAGGTGCTGCATTATTAAAGATGCTTAGGTCACTTAAGTCCCTGAAACTCTGGCCTATAAAATACCTACTCTTGTATAAAGATGGCGAAACATTAGCTCCTGGGTGCATAAATCCTTTCTGAATACAGGTATGAGACTTAACTAATTAGCTGCTTTAGTTTTTCTTTCTGAAGAGTTTCTCAGGCTTGGAGCCCAGCCACGTAGCACAGCATGAGTGACAGGGTCAGGAAACTACTGGCAGAAACCTAATACATCATAGTCTGTTATAGTTCTGTTGCTTTGCATTTAAACCACTAACTAGAAAAGGAAGCATCTGCCTTTCAAGGTCTCCCAAATGCATTGAGAGAAAAACTGCAAAAAAATTCTGTGCTGAATTCTCACCTGCGACTGCATTTTCCATCTCAATTTCTCATCTTGCTGCTTAGAGACATGTCAAAGACACACAAATATTTACCGATGAATATCATATATTCAGCTCTGGGGAAATGGTGCTATTTGCATTTATATGGAGACTATCACTTTATACAAGCTAAATGTCACTGTACATGCATTCTTTTTCCAGTCAATATTTGTTTCTTGCTGCTATTACGTATCAGGAGACTGATGTCAATGGGGTTTATTTAATCTCCACATGACTTGGTTCTGTACACAACTGCTCTGCAATTCATAAAGGCCTCAAATGAGCAAATTTGACAGGCTAAAACTTAGTAGGCCTTGAAGCTTGATCTGAGATCCTTTGAAATCGATGGAAATACTTCTACTGTGAGTAAAAAGGTTTCAGATTAAGCCTTAGTGAATATACACCCGACTTCTCACTGGTAAAACACAGCAGATGACTCACAACGGCTCTAGACTTGGTTTGAAAGGAAAATTTTTTGTGACTGAACAAATAGTTTTATTGTAGCAGAAGGTGCTGTGGGTCCTTAATCATGTAGAAAAATGTCTCATATTGGTGAGAAGCACTGGGCTGGTGGCATGAGCCTGCTGCCTGGGACTGCGAGCGTGGGATTTCCATCTGGCCAGTGTGCTTGTTGCAAACGCAGGAGAAATGAAGTACTGGCAGCCCACGTGGTGTACAACAGCCTAAAGGTCAAGGACAGACTCCTGCTTAGTGTGAGAAAACACTTCTTGCACAAGTTCTGAGTGCAAATCCTGCTGATGAAGAGGCATTCAGATATTAGACTGGCTGAGCTCTGGCCTTCACGGTGGCCTGATTCACCTTCAGTTTGCCATGTGGAAAGAGGGTCCAAAGTTGCTGCAGTACATTTATGGTAATGTGAGTTTGTATTTGAATTGAACTCATGCTACCATCTCAGTCTTAAGGCAAACTCTAGGCCACAGTTTGAACAAAATTCTCAAGCTAATCCTGGTCAATAGCTCTTGGAAAATCACATGAAAAAGAGACTTACTGCTTTTATTTCCAGAACATACAAATGACATACAAATGACTTTTTGGTTACCCAAAAATCACTGTTGTGATACCTCAGTTACATTATTCAGGGTCTTAGTGATAACTACTTCTAGCTGTAGCTTCCATATGAAGACATACTTTTCCCCTGAAATCCTTACTATACACGCAACCAAGCTAAAATGTTTAATTTTGTCCACTGCCCGGAACAACTAAACCATAGCTCTGCTTTTGGAGACTTTTAGTTGTGACTAAGATCACACAACTGGCACTGTAACTACTTGTCTGGAGCACCATGTAAATACAGAATAAGCAAAAAATCATTATGAAAATAATTGAATATCAACCATTTAAGGCATGTCATTATATGAATTAGTGATAATTACCTGTCAAAACCCCAAAGCATAATATAATTAACCCACAAATACAACATAAATATAGAGTAATTACAAAATTTCACCCACTATAACAATTGAGTTGTCCTTTAACAGGTGTAATAAAACATGATGAATCAAACTCCGTTGGAAGTAGAGTACAGGAGTTGGTGCGTATGATGCAGAAAGAAAAAGGACAGTATTTGGCTCTAATTCTCAGCAGAATGCCACTGGAAGTCATATCTTTTTCAGCTATAAACCACATATACTAAATTTCTATTTTGCCTTTGTAGTAAATTGGTTATACTGAATACAGAAGACTGTGGTTCATGCTAATAACATCCTATTCAGATAGCCTTTTATTAATGAGAAAAATGCTTATGTGAACATGTCTTGCCCTGGATTGCATTTTGCTGCAGCAGTTAATACTCATAACAATTAAGAGATATTAATATCATGCTAACAAGGAAAGGGTCATGGAAAAAAAAATTACCCAGAATCCCCCCACGATGATCCCCCCAGGTGCCTGTCTCAGTGGTAGAAGACTGATTTTAAGGGTATAATACATTAGACACCTACCATGTGCATTTCAAATGTATTTTTCTCACTAAGAACAATATTAATTTCTGGATTAAACCAGAGTACTTTAATCAGCAGCACAAGCAAAGCCTTGATTTACTCTGACACACAAATGAAGGGGAAGATGATGGGGTAGAAGATGGAGAGTGTCTGTCTCTTGTGCTTTATCAGACATCTGCTTTAGGAAGCTTGTGTAGATACAGGCTTGGGTAGAACTTACTGTGGGATCAAGGGTGAATATAGCAAAGCAAAATGCTTTAAAATTTATCACTTCTATAAAATTAAAAGAGCATACATTCTCTCATACAGGGACTAAAAATATGTGTATTATGTATGTTTTGTACATACAAAACTAGTATGTAATTGTACAACCAGCATGTTATTCCCTAAATATTTACTGAAAGTCCAAGGACCTGAAGACCCTCATTAGTTTGAGATTTTGAATTCTAACCATGAACATCACGACCATGCTGACTCACCTGCCCCTGAGGTGACAAAAGGAAAGGAGCTGACATTGCATGACCCCTGTTCACTCCAGCAAGGGTTGGAACAACACCTATATGGCATTTAAGGCTTCCTCATCCCACATGGGAAGACTTGCCATCTCACTTTCTAGATGCTGTCAGCTTTACAGCTGATACCCAGCCCAGTATTGCTTGCAGTGAGAGATGATGGGCAGCATCAGACAATAATACTAATCCTTTTTGGACAAGCTGCCAGGCTTGACACCCCTCCTGCTTCATTAAATGTGAACATTGCTCACCAGGCAACACTTCTTCTCTGTCTCCAAAGCAAACATATACCAACCGGTGTGAGACATTAATTGGATGGAGAGTTAATTTCTGAACAGGATGGTCCAGAAGACCCTACCAGACTGAGTAAATTTTCCTCAGTCAAAGCTTGTGCAAGGTAAATATCCTTCCTTCACACAGTGGAGTCTCTAGGACATTATACCAATGTAATACAGTAGAACTTGGGATAAGAAAAGGAGCTGCTGTGATTCTGTGTCACTGCTACATGAGTTTATTTCTGGACTTACATGGCACCACTTATGATGAGGAATTTAGAGTTCAGAAATCACCAAAACAAAATAGGTCTGATGGAATGTGAAATCCTGACTGGCCTTCACAGGAGTGCTCTGCCCCTGCTGAAAAAGCTCCCTCAGCTGCTCCTTGTAGGACTTACCCTCCAGATCCTTCATCAGCATCTTTGCCCTTCTCTGGACCACCTCCAGAACCTCCATGTCCCTCCTAAATTGAGATGTCCAGAACTGGACACAGCACTCGAGGCGCGGCCTTACCAGGGCAGAGTACAGGGGGACAATCACTGCCCTGGTCCTGCTGGCCACACTATTGCTGATCCAAACCAGGATGCCATTGGCCTTCTTGGCCACCTGGGGACACTGCTGGCTCGTGTTCAGCTGCTGTCAACCAGCACCTCCAGGTCCTTTTCCAATGGGCCAGTTTCCAAGCACTTTTCCCCCAGCTTATAATGCTGCAAGGGGTTGTTCTGGCCGAAATGCAGGACTGGGCACTTGGTCTTGTCCAACCTTGTACAACTGGCCTTGGTCCATTGATCCAGCCTGTCCAGATTCTGCTGCAGAGCCCTCTGAGCCTGCAGTAGATCAACACTCCCATACAACAGGGAGATAGGTAATATCTCAGCTGCTTTCTTTCACAACACACCTTAAATCTCCTGAAAAATCATTTAATGTGATTCCTTATGTGGCACAATACGCTTGCAGGTGACTAACCTGTATTTTTTACTTTTGGAGAGGGAGGTTGGACTAGATGACTTCTGGAGGCCCAACTTACATAACTCTATGATTAAAACCATTGTCACATATATTGCAAGAAAATATATGAGTGAACCATCATCTCAACTTATTCTAGTTTAAATAGAAAATCCGTGTCTGCCTAGGAAAGTTTCTTTTAGGCAAAAAAAATAAACAATGTTAAATTAATGACAGCAGCAGCAGTACCACACCTCGTCTGGGCAGCAGCTAAAGTAACCGGCTTTTCTTAGGTAAGCTTAAGGTACGTAGGCCTGTTTTCTTTAGCCCAACACCCCTGTTTTGCCACAGCCATTTGCTACCTACTGTGGCATGTGAGCCCATCTGACCAAAGGCTCTAAGACATGGACTAGACCTCTGTGATGCTCCAGCCCCTGCAAGAAGCAAAGTCCCATCATCCTACAGACTGTGGGACACCAGATTGCTCTCATGCTAAGCACTATCTCAGGGGCACAGGCAGCAGAGCAGGCTGCTGAGGTAGTGAATCTTATCCCTCATAAACCACAAAACACAACAGGAGAATAACTCCAGATAAATCCCTGGAGAGATGCACCAACCTGCTGTGCAGCCTGGGCAATCCCAAACTCCAGAAGAGATTGCAGCTACAGGTGGCCAGAGGCTGGCATTGCCCTCCTCCTTGCCCACTCTTTGTGGGATGACTGGGCCACAGGGCCCTTTGCGTCTCTCCCCACAGTGGTGGAGAAGATGCTTCACTTGGGATATGCTGGAGGATGAGAAGCAGCTGAATGCTCTGGAGGCATTGCACCGCCTGTCTATGCAGAGATGCTGGTGACACAGGGACTCCTCAGCTGGGAGAGCTTCTCTCAGGGCACCCGATGATTATAAAAGGGAAGCTGAAACAGCTTGGATGTCTGCAGTTGTTGCAGCAAATTAAATATGATGAAACACAGTAGACAGTTTTATAGGATCTATTAACTGTATTAGACCTTCATATTGGAATAATTTATTGCTGGATTCTACACAGCCCAGATGAAATTCCAAACATCCTCCAAAAGGTTTTGGTCCTTTGCAAGGGCACTGGCATAGAAGATATATCCAGTCAGTTTCAGTAGGAGCTGAAATGTACTCTGGAGGCTGTCCCAACAGTGTTAAAGGAGCAGCTGTAGCCCTTACTCCTAGTTGTCTTTTCTCATGCTGACATTGCTGACACACTTGGTAGGAAATGCCAGTCCAAAAGAGTGTTGAGGTTTTGTGGAGACTGTCCAGCAAGTCTTATTCTTTTCAATGACCATGTGAGAAGTACTCCATGTTTCAAATCGGTCTGATTTACTTCTCACCTAGCAATCTGCTGGAGCAGAACTGGTTGCAGAGAAGAAGACCTCTGGCATACTCATGCTGGTGGAGTCACTGCCTGCTTCATCCAGTGCTGAAGGGTGGTAAATACACCCCAGTGCTGAGTGCCTGCAGGAGGAAAATGAGGCAATTCAGAAGTTATTCGTTGGTGTCTCATTTCAGTGGTTGCAAGCAAGAATGCTTGTGCTGCTCCTCATTCTACTCTGCATTGAGGAAGTGCAGGCACTCACCTTTAATGGATGATTGCTCTTGGATAAGTTTGCTAATGGCTGCAGTTATGTCACTCAGGAAAATCATCTTTGCGATTTCTGAAAGACCCCATTAACACTGCATTAGAATCCTGATGGCTTTCATTCACTGAATTATTTAATTACTTAAATTTTTTAAACATATCAGAATACCTTCTAAATCAAACGTGACCTCCCAGTCTTCTGTGAGAGAGGCTGACCTTGAGCATGCTTCCTGGGCTGTTGTAGCCTTGCTTCTCTCTTCACACATGCTCTCCCTGCAGCACTCAGCTTTATACCTTCAGAAAGTGTTTTTGAGGGAAGCAGCATGCTAAGTGGTTTTCTTTTTTTGTGATTTATCCAAGTGCCTGTTTGCTCCCACATGCTGTGAGTAGATAATAGCAGTTCTCAATCAAAGTTAAAATTACTAACGCTCTTGTCTGTGAAAAATTTAGTGCAGGAAAAAAAAAGGTTAATGATGCTGCTATACTACCAATCTTACTATGGTTTGTCTTATCTTCATCCTTGCATCCTTGTGAGCATTGTTATATTGACTGGCTATTCCAGTCGATCTCTCAGCTGAAACCTAGGAAAGACAATTGTATTTGATATTTTGCTAAGATGGTGAAACTACTGTAGAAAAAGCCATGTAAACAGAAACAAAAAACAATGTTTTTTCAGACACTATGCACATCATGCAGTAAACACAATTCAACAGTGTACTGACAGCACAGTGGTTAGCACAGAAAATTACTCCATCCTCCTCCTAAATATATGTTTATAGCAGTAAATTTTGCCTATGTATTCCCTCATAGCTGGAAGCTGTCAAAATTATTTGGCACAGGATGTTGGAGTAGTTTGAAGAAAAAAAAAGAGCAACAACAGCAGCTACTCTCACTTCAAGTTATTGACACTTAAGTGTCTGTCTGCAGTCCCATCATACACAGGTAACATACTATTAATTCTCTTTTTGTATTGTGTTCACTCTAGGGTCTTTTGTGACAAAAGTAATGACTACTTTTTAGTTGTAGTCTGCTACAACCTTTTGTCAATGTAAAAGGGCAGAGAGATGATCCTTTCACTTATACGTTCTCAGTCTTCTACTGAACACATTTAATTTATGGGAATTGGAAAATGGGACAGCATTAGAATTTCATATATTCATGTACAAAGTCATTTCAGTTGAGATAGATGAACTCTGATGGATTACATAGTGTCAAATTATGTGCTTCAAATTATATAGTGTAGTGATGGAGTGGTTTGACCAAGTCACAATAGGCTCCTTATCTGAAAAGGTCTTATATCAAGCATCTGAAACCACTGTTGGGCACTTAATCAAAACCAGTCTGGTTTGTAGGGGTCATCAACATGCATAGAGCACTGCCTAAATTACTCTGTCTGTATGGTGAGTAACTCAAATGATTGCTTGCTAGGTAGTCTGGGATTAAGTCACCCTTTATCAGAGTGCCTGGTCTCAGAGACACTGAAGCCTCCAGCAGACGGATGAAGTTATCTTTACTTCATCCCCACTGAATACTGCTAGTTCCTTGCGGTGCTTTAGAGAATAATTACCAAATTTCAAACTTTACCCTAAAGATATAACTCTGTCCAAAGATTGTCCTCCCCTGTATCTTGGATGTTTTCAGTGTGCCCTGGTGTACTCTTCCCTGTGATACATGAAAGCTTTGCTGGAGCATGTTGGCTCCAGTTCTCAGATATGCAGATGCATGAGCTCTTTATATTACTCCATACCTTTTTTCACAGGTCTAATACAAAGCTTTTGGCAGATAGTGAAAAGATTTCCATTTTCCCACAAATTTTGGAAGAATCACTCCAAAATTCCTCAATTCCAGTTTTCCCAAGACTCAATGTTTGCTGGAGTCTTGCTTCAATACAAACCTAAATTCAGAACACCTTAAGCACCAACCCAACATGAAATATGACAGTATTTCCAGAGGTACTTGCTGGGCCTGTTGCCATGCTGAAGATGAGACAGGTATTTAGTTCCCAGTGAATGACCCTTGAGGATTCCCTGCATAGAGCCTGCATAGGTGAGGGCTCAGAGGCCAAATATGTAAGGTGCTGCCCCCTAAGCCATGGCTCTTTCCCAGAAACCTTGCAGTTCTGCGTTTGTTGGCTTTACGAGGCAAAAAGGGAGCTAATTTGATGCATGTGATCGGGCACCCCTAAGACACTTCTTGCCTTAATTATATTTACATAGGAATAACAATGAATAGAAGGAAAACTCTGCTCTTATCAGCACAGCTTGACATTCCCAGTGCATTAGCACATTAAATGATCGGATGATAGAGTAAATAAGATATGAATTACTTTTTAAAAGCTTTTACAACAAGGTTTAAGATGCTTCCATCTCAAGGGTGACCTGTAATTGTTAATAATTTGCAAAAACAACCCCATCAATGAAAATGAGGGTTTCAATACAATTATCATAAATGCTTCAACTAATCAAGTTATTCAGCACAACTAGATTTAAACATGCCTTTTCATTTTCATCTAAGGCCCTATGACAACTGGACTGCCCGTATAACATAACAACCAGTAGCAAACATCTCTGTGGGAGCCCTCTGCTTTTGCAGAGACAGCAGAGCTTCCCTGCTGAACACAAACATTTTTCGGAGCCCTTAAAAAGCATCCAGCTTAGTAACCCTTCTGGAGGCCCCATGGGCTGAAGCTGGATGTTGTCCAGCTGTGGCAATCATAGAATCACAGAATAGTTTAGTTGGAAAAGCCCTCTAAAATCATCGATTCCAACCATTAACCCAGCACTGCCAAGTCCACCACTAAACCATGTCTCTAAGTGCCACATCTATATGTCTTTTAAATACCTCCAGTGATGGTGATTCCACCAATTCCCCAGGCAGACCATTACAATGCTTGATAACTCTTTCAGTGAAGAAATTGTTCCCAATATCCAATCTAAACTTCCCCTGGTGCAGCTTGAGGCTTACTCCTCTTGTTCTCTAGCTTAGAGACCGACTCACCACCTGGCTACAATCTTCATTCAGGTAGTTGTAGAGAGTGATAAGGTCTCCTCTGAGCCTCCTTTTCTTGAGGCTAAACACCCCCAGCTCCCTCAGCTCCTCTTCATAAGACCTGTGCTCCAGATCCTTCACCAGTTTCATCATACCCTCTCTACACTTTGTTTCACAACAGTGACTTCATCTCACAACCTCCTGAGGTGTCACTTGAGCAAAGAGCTGGCAATTTGCTCTGGACATCTGAACAGCAAGTCCACATAGGCAGAAATGGGCCACATCAGGGTACAGTGTCTGTGAGCTGCTGCGGCCAGGTGCGCTGGCAGCAAGGCACACCAGTGCCATTGCATTCTGGGTAGGACTTCAACATCTTGATGTGATTTTATGTAGGTTTTATTGCCGGCCTCATTTTATACCCACCAAAGCCAGTGATTTATTTAGTTTAGAACAGCTTTATTCAGAGTTGTTTACCCACAGAGTGTCCCAATATGGAGGTGTGGGAAAGGAGATTACTTACAATTTCTTTAAATTTTTTCTCTGCTTATTTTCAGCAGTCCTCTACTGAAAATAACGTGGAGCTGTGCATAAAGGCTGATTATCAAACCTATCTAGGGGATTGAGTCACACAGCTGTGCATCTAAATCTAAATTGGAGATGGTATTTTTGGATTATAGATGGCAAAATGGGCGAGGGAACAGCAGGGTGAGAAACTAAGTGTGTTTTCTGCATAGGGCCGTGAGGTTTCATCACCAATGCTGGCATGGAGGGACGAAGGATCTCCTTGGCCTGAGAAAACCTAACAGCACAAACTGCATCTAGCTCTGTTAAACTCCCCAAGAAGCATGCACTAGGACAGCAGCACCTCTCTTCAAAATACAGCATATTTTGCATCTGAGGAATTCAGAGTTTGACAACTTAATACCTTTGGAAGAAGCTGCAGATGGCATACTCAGAAGAGTTGCTGTGACCTGCAGGAGCAGGACTTGAGACCCAGAGATGACACAGTTTCCCGATTAAGCTGGAACCAACACAATAGAGCTACGTTTTCTCCCCAAGACCCAGCCTTATAGCTTTGCCAGATTATTTTGACATGTTTTCCACACACTGAGAATTTTAGCTTTACTTGAAATAATACCTTTTAGCTTGGAAACATTGTTGATTGCAGACTCTTTCCAGAAATGAAAAGGGGAAAAAAAAGAAAAAAAAAAGAATTCATTTCCAGACACTTGAGAGTAGAGGAATTGTTCAGGTGCTGAAGTCAAGGCAAAGTATTAGACAATAAGTAGGAGGCTCAAATGTTAAAAATCTCAAGGTAGGAAGACAACGATTTGAACAGGCCTTCTCTCCTCCAATACTACTGGGAAAGGATGATATTACAGTGAACCTCGTTAAAATGGAATATTCCCAACAGAGAATAATTGATGCTAGTACTACTGTCAAACTGAAGATCTGAAAGGGACTAATTACGTTTTCTACTAGGAATAACTTTCCATTTTGTCACTGCTTCCATACCTGAGCAATCCCATTAATCTCAAACATCTGAATCTCAGATCCTCTGCTTAATTTCTGCTGGGAATTGAGGGAAATAGCAAAACCAGCACTGCCAGAGCTACAGTAGCTGAAATTGATGCCCTTAAATCAGAAGAACATGTCAAAACATTCCAGGCAGTCTTTAATAACTCCTTTTAAGGAGCATGCAGATATAAGAGAGTAAGCATACAGAAAACAGGGTGTCTCATGGGGGGTGCTGGTTTGGCCATTCATGGCTGTGACAGGGAGGGAGGGATCCTATCCCCACAGTCCTGTGTGGGGTGTTGGGAACATGCATAGGGCTAAAAATGCGAGCTAAGAGGGAGGATGGCTCTTCTTGTTAGTGGGAAATTTCTCTCCCCTTCTGTCTCACCGTCATTAGCTCTTGACAGGGCAATGAGTTCTTCCTCCAGCTTCCATATGGCTTCTGTAGAGGTTTCTGTTTGGTCTTGACTTCTAGACTAAAGGGAAGCAGTTAACTACTTCCCTTGAGTGTCAGCCTGTTAAGTCTAGGCTGTTAGAGAGAGCATATCAAGAGAAAGCATGACCTATTGTTTCAAGAGAAAGCACTGGCCAGAAATGAAGGGGATTAGCACATCGTCTACACAACTACAGCAGCTTTGAAGTGTTCCAGGGATATTCCCTACCTCAGTGTTTATTCTGTTCCTGAGTGCTTCTTTATGGTGGTGTGCATATTCCCCATATTGCAAAGAACAAGAGAGATGTGGGATGAACAGTTTTTAGACAACATGCTACACTGCAAGAACTTTGTCAGATGATTTAACATTGGCAAAGAGAAGATAAGTTTAATTGCTGAGAGCTAGGATGGGGGATATTGAACCACATTTTATTGGTTTATTATTATTATTATTCCACAATAAAGTGGAAGTTTTGGCAGCCTCTGAAGAGCATGA